ATCACTCTATCTATCTGTCCGAATCTCTCTCTCTCTCTCTATCTCACTTTCTCTGCCCCCCCCCCCTCCTCTCCCTCTCTCTTTCTCTCACACTCTCTCTTTCTATCTCGTAACTGAGATATTAGAAATGTAATTTTTGTCAATACAACTGATTATCATAGGCCTATAGTGAAGAGAATATACCACTGTGCCCATCACTTTCCTGTGTATATTGTCAATGTGTGGTTCAAATATAAAAAATCTGTCTAGGTGTATGCCTAGATTTTCCACTGAAGTCTTCAGTTTGATCGAACAGCCAGCAAATTCTATTCTGTCATTGGGATTTTTATCAAATGTTCTGCCGACTACCTATGAATATACATTGACTTTTATGTGGATTTAGTTTAAGGCCATTAGTGTCAAAATATATTTTTGCTTGTGTAAGAGCACGTTGGGTATAGCTTAATGAATTTAAGTTATTTACTGAGCCACTATGAAGAAACTAAATCATCGGCTGACAAATCATTTACGAAAATTGTAATAGGATTAGACCTCAAAGAGAACCTTGTGGAGAAAACCAAAATGTACTGGTTGTTTTGACGATATACTAACACTGATTTACTAATTTGTTAAGGAGATTTTCACGTTTGCTACTGTCAAAAGCTTTAAAAAGGTCGCGCAATATGAGCAAATTTACCTAATTTTTGTAAATTCCTTAAAAGGCAGCTTGACTGAAATTTCATAGAAGTGTTCCTTCCGGAGTCTGCACAAGGGGTTTCCTAGGGTCTGGTGTAGCAGTGGAATTTAGGATGATAAACGATAAATAGATTATTTGCAGAGAAAAAATGTTGGTTAATAAAACTCTCATCTAAAGATAAGCCTAAATTTATATATTTGTCTATATTTGTATATAGGTTTATTTCATAGTAATCGACATATAATGGAAAGGAGGAATACTGCATCAAAAAACTTTTTCTTTCTGGTGATGTTCAGTAATTTTATTAAAAAATCAGTCACATGAAAAATCACAAATCCCCTTAAATCTTATAGGGAAATCCAGTATTCTCTCTCTCTCTCTCTCCATCTCTCTCTAGCTATCTGTCTATCTCCTCCTTGTCCCCTCTCCTACTCTCTCTCTCTCTCTTTCTCTCCCTCCCTCTCCCTCTCGCTCTCTCTTTCGCTAGAGTAAAAAGGAGTAACACATAAACTTATCAATCCCAATCCAATATCCCTCTATGTTTAATCAAATCCCATACATAGCTAAGTTGAAATAAAAAGCACCATTATATGAAACAAAATCTTAATATCTAAAAGCCAGCGATTTCAGCACTACAGTAGAATGGTATCTCATCATGTCAGTGTAACATCGCGATTAACTAATTAGGGTAGAATGTCTCTATGGGTTAATGATGCTTGGTTTAGAAATTTTATCATTAATTTATCGGTTTTATTTGCTTTTGATTTTATCTTTCAGGTTATTTTCATATTGTTATCCATTTTGTTATGGATGATAATAGTATCAGTGATTCTATCTCTCTCTCTCTCTTTCTCTTCTCTCTCTCCCTTTCTTGTTTTGAACATGAATAAGATCACTACATTTTCCTTTTCTTGTTTGATATTTTTGATATATGGTTTTACGCATATCTGTGAATTTAGTCTTCCATATATATATATGTATATATATATATATATAATATATATATACATATACATATACATATATATATGTATATATATATATAATATATATATATATACATATACATATACATATATATATGTATATATATATATATATATATATATATATATATATATATATATATATATATATATATATGTAGGCCTATATATATAGGCTTTTTTCCGGTGCCAAGAAACTGTCTAACTAGAAAGTGTCGTTTTTTTTTATTTGCGACACTTCTCCCGGCCGATCGCAACAGCAACTCCACCCCCATTCCTAGGAATTGTACTCGAGTTGACGAATCTGATTTTGTTTTTGAATTGTATCATTTGACAAATCACTGGTTTACTTGTATTTATAACAATAAATACAAGTTGTTAGTTATCAACATCTTCAAATTACAAATCAAACGACGGAAAACTATCGAAATTAGTTGAAAATGCGCGGGCCCTAAGCGCCAACTATCATACATCTTCATTCGTCCATCGACACTGGTTTCGAAGGTCACACTTCTTTAAATATTTTGAAAATGACACTATTTATTGATTGATATCAGCTATATTCAAAAGAATATATAAGTTTATGTCTGCATATTCAATTATACATACATAATAAGTAAAATGATTATGTAAAACCTAATGTAAATTTTCATATTGTTTTAACCATTCGAACACATTTTGTAAATAAAACATGAGATATTTCCCCGTATATTATTCGTCATTGAACACTTTTGGAGGCCTGAATATTGCCTAAGATTAAAGCATAAATGATATAAGAAAAACAGTAACTAGCCTTACATGACATATCGCATAAAAACGCACACAAACGAAAGATAAACCTGAACCTCGCTCTTCTTAGCCGTGGCCCTACTAATGCGAAAGCATATAAAGCTTAAACTCTATATTATTATATATGGTAGTAGTGTATATTTTTAATATTATATTTCTGCATATATATGTATATATATACATATACATACATACATATACATACATGCATATATATATATATATATATATATATATATATATATATATATATATATATATATATATATATATATATATATATATATATATATATATATATATATATATAAGGTATGAATGAGACTGGATATCTTCACAATACAAGAGATGTATTTGACCGGTTTCGATTACGTCTTCATCAGAAATGAAGACGTAATCGAAACCGGTCAAATACATCTCTTGTATTGTGAAGATATCCAGTCTCATTCATACCTTTTCTACATTTGTCAACATGGATACGTTTCATATATATATATTATATATATATATATATATATATATATATATATATATATATATATATATATTTTAACCATATGTATACACGCATGTATATATATATATATATATATATATATATATATATATATATATATATATATATATATGTGTGTGTGTGTGTGTGTGTGTGTGTGTGTGTGTGTGTGTGTGTGTGTGTGTGTGTGTGTGTGTGTGTATACTGTATATAGGTATGTATGTATGTACACATTTCTGTATATATATATAATATATATATATATATATATATATATATATATATATATATATACATATATATATATATATATATATATATATATATATATATATATATATATATACTACACACACACACACACACACCACGCACGCACACACATATACATATGTATATATGTGTATGTAGTATATATGTATATACACAGACACACACACACACACACACACACACACACACACACACACACACACATATATATATATATATATATATATATATATATATATATATATATGTATGTGTGTGTGTGTGTAGTATATGTGTATACACACATACACAGGCACATACAGTGTATGTGTATGTATGTATATATTTTAATTATTTAAAGATTTAGTTTTAATTCCTTTTGTTACAATGGATATTCTTTGCTGTGACATACGGTCTGTTTTATTTTGCTTCCAAATCTCCCCCTGTGTGCAAGAAATGGCCGGGGTTACCATTCACTGGCCAGGCATGGGACTGAACGCAGGTTTGCAAGATTGCTAGACGAACGCGCTCACCACTGCACTATATATATATATATATATATATATATATATATATATATATATATATATATATATATATGTATATATATATATATATATATATATATACACATGTATATATATATATATATATATATATATATATATATATATATATATATATATATATATATATGTATACATATTATTTTATTATTTTTGTATACGCTCTCATATCTTGCCTTTCATCTTATTTTTATCATCTTACAGTTCATGTGTTAAAACATGAGTATTATTAAACATAACAAAATTATTTTTCTCATTTTCATTATCTGTCATCATCATCATTATCATCGTTTGGCATTAAAACATATCTCTTTTCAATCGTACAGGAAATAAAGACGCATAATGGACTAATTTTATACTAACAAACATACGCTAACTTTATTGACGATGATGCATGTCTACATGAAGTAAAATACTGTTGCCATTAATAATAGACATAGAAAATTTGTTGTTGTTTCTGCGGACGAAACTACTGTATTAGTATTTGGGTTTCTTAAACTTATATAAACATACACATATAAACTCCAGCAGAAAATATATGAATGAAAATGAATAACTTCCCTAATAGCTATATGCAACATACGGTAATAATATATATTTTTCTGCTAGATTCAACACATTTCCATTCATAATTTTTCTACTTTTATCACAATAACATCTGTTCATACCCCATCTCATTGTTTTTCTCTTTGCAATGAGGAATACATTCTTCAATAAATCTCTATAGTAATTATAACAAAATGAGTATAGATATGTAGACTAAAGATAGATATAAAGATGTCTTCCGACGTAATATACAAGATTATTTCACAAGTACACATAAAATTACTATAATTTTCCCTTACAAAATAGTATACTAGGTAGCTACATAGTGTGAACTGGGCATAAGAGATGCTCTTCATGGTTTGCTACCATCAAAATCTATAAGAACCTCTTTACACTTACATAACCCACATGATCTTCATATCACTTCGTCTTTTTTCCTTTCTTTTTTTCATCAAACTGGAAATTACCCGGAACTTTGAAATTCCCCCAGTTCAAGTTAAAGCTTCTGTTCTTATTCAACAGATTTCATTTTTTTGTTTGTTTGCTTTGTGTTCTTATTTACAACTGCATGCACAAAACATTATCAACAAAGAGTTGGAGTTGGCCTATCTAGACGCCTTTTGACACCACTTCTGTGTTATATTTATTAGCTCATTATATACTCAGCGTTTCCTGATGAACGATTTCACATGTTGCATCAATATCCCATCACACGCCGGTCGTTTTGATGACGTTGGAGGGCAGGATGTGAGGGTGCTGCCTCGACCTCGAGAAGTCCATTGGTACTTCGTTTCTTGGTACTTGGGGAACCTCCTCTGCCCTTCTCCTTTCTCCTGGGTAAGCGTAAGGAGTAACTTGCCGATAGCTGTCCCTTCCGTGTCTCCCTCCTCCTCTTCCTTCTTCCCTCTCTCCTTCTCTTCTTCCTCCTGTTCCTGCACTCCTTCCTCCTACCCCTTCTTCCTCTGCTCCTCCGGATCCTCCTCCAACCCCTGCTCTTTCCCTCCTTCCCTCGTCGACTCTCCACACAGGAGGCTGCGGACGCGTCGACCCGTTCTCCTCCGCCTCCTCCCTCCTCCTCTTTCCGGAGAGCCTCGTCGCCACGCCCCTCGAGAACTTCCCGAAACTCCTTCCGTCTTTGTCGCTTATTCCTTGTCCTCCCTCTTTCTTTCCTCCTTCAGCGGGCTCCTTCCCGTCGGCGAATTCGGAGAAGAGCGAAGGAGGCCCACTGGAGAGGGCGCTGGACGCATCTCCCGACGGAGGAATCGCGTCCTCCACCAGCTTGAGGTCTCCTACGTGGCGGGCGGCCTGCGACATGAACACCACGCTCACAGCGAACATGGCGCACGCCATTCCGTGGAGCTTGTACCTGCGGGAGGGGCGGAGGGTGTGTAAAAGTGGGGGAAGGATGAGACAAACATGTCGTCTGAAGAAGTGATCAATTAGACTGATGATCAAAACAAATAAACGAGGAAGGATGTCACGCATACACAAAAATATAGAAGATAAGTGGGTAAACAAGTATATTGATAAAAATAATTATCATTATCAATAATGAAAATCGTGTACTAGTTATGGCAGCTTCCTTTTGCTTTTTAACCATCTGTGTTCATCTAGTTTCATCCTCTTCCACCCTCTAATCTACTCCTCCCTCTACTAATAACCTGAAGCCACCGTCGCCACAGCCCCGGTACGAGCCTTTTCTGCCCTTTCTCCCTCCTACAACTACCTCCCTCCTCTCCCTTCCATCATTCCCTCCCGCCCACCTCCTCTTCAGCTGCCACGAGCTCCTGTCACCGCCCGCCTCCTTCACCCCATACCCACCTCCTCCGAATCCCCTTCCACCTCCGCTTCTTCCACCTCTCCCACCAACCTGAAATCATCGCTGCTGTAGACCCAGCACGAGCCTCTATCGCCGCAGACCTCTTCCCAGACCAGGCAGGCGGAGTCGACCAGAGACCCGAAGACCAGAGGGTTCAGCATGACGGCCAGAGCCAGCATCGTCGCCTTCAGGCCCAGGGCGAGCGGCTTGTCCTCTTCGGCGACGCACCTGCGGGAAAGGGACAGAGAGACGGGGGAATAAGGGAGAAGGGGAATAATCCTGATAAATTGGGGTAGGGGATAGGAGAAAGGTTATCTCTTCGGCGACGCACCTGCGGTAAAGGGACAGAGAGACAGGGGAATAAGAGGGAAGGGGAATAATCCTGATAAATTGGGGTAGGGGATAGGAGAAAGGTAACCTCTTCGGCGACGCATCTGCGGGAAAAGGGGCAGAGAGACAGGAGAAGAGTGGAGGGGAATGATTTAACTTAATAATTTAATTATTTAATAATTTAGGGAAGGGGAACAATTCTGATAAATTGGGATGAGGGACAGGAAACATGTCCCCTTCGTTATAAAAAATGTATTCTCTTTGGCTACAAGAAAAATGCTAATGTGGATATAGAAACTGTTGAGAGAAAAAATATAGTGGGGAAATTCTGGATATTCTCAGATGTGTATGTATAAAATCTAGTTTGTGCATTGTGGGTTTTTTCTACCATATATATATATATATATATATATATATATATATATATATATATATATATATATATATATATGTATATAATATGTATATATATATGTATATATATATTATATAATATATATATATATATATATGTATATATATATATATATGTATATATATATATATATATATATATATATATTATATATATATATATATATATATATATATATATATATATGTGGTGTGTGTGTGTGTGTGTGTGTGTGTATATGTATATGTATGTGTATGTGTATATGTATATGTATGTGTGTGTGTATATATATATATATATATATATATATATATATATATAATATTATATTATATTATTATATTTATTTATATCTATATCTATATTTATATTTATATTTATATATATACATATATACATATACATATATATATATATATATATATATATATATATATATATATATATATATATAATATATATATATATATATGTTAACCGTATTCATGTTGGCAAATGTAGAAAAGGTATGAATGAGAATGATATTCACAATACGAGATGTATCTGACTGGTTTCGTCAGAAATACATGCATTCAGACACACCTCTTGCATTGTGAACATATTCATTCTCATTCATACCTTTTCTATATATGTGTGGGTAAGTGTGTGTGTATGTGTGTGTATAAAAATATATATGTATATATATATGAATATATACATATACGATGTGATATATATATATATATATATATATATATATATATATATATATATATATATACATATACATGTATATATATATATATATATATATATATATATATATATATATATATATATATATATATATATATATATAATATATATATATATATATATATATATATATATATATATATATATATATATATATATATATATATATATATATATATATAGAGAGAGAGAGAGAGAGAGAGAGAGAGAGAGAGAGAGAGAGAGAGAGAGAGAGAGAGAGAGAGAGAGAGAGAGAGAGAGAGAGAGAGAGAGAGAGAGAGAGAGAGAGAGAGAGAGAGAGAGAGAGAGAGAGAGAGAGAGAGAGAGAGAGAGAGAGAGAGAGAGAGAGAGAGAGAGAGAGAGAGAGAGAGAGAGAGAGAGAGAGAGAGATTTAGTTTCAATTCCATTTGTTACAATGGATATTCTTTGCTGTGACATAATGTCTGTTTTATTTTGCTTCTAAATCTCCCCCTGTGTGCAAGGAATGGCCGGGGTTACCATTCACTGGTAACGCGCAGGATCGAACGCTGGTCAGCAAGATTGCAAGACCAGCACGTTCACCACTGGACTACACAGCCAGAGAGGGAGAGGGAGAGGGAGAGTTAGTTAGACTCGTACATCATGTCGGTAACTCTCACCGACTACTCATGAACGTCCAGAAATTCTCTGAAACAGAAAAGTCCCTAAAATGCTACCGTATACTCTCGAGCACTCCAAATTCGCCTCATCCCGACGAGTAAACACAAAACCACGATACTCACGAAGACTCAACACTCACCTCATGTTGATGAGTATCCCGCCGATGGTCCCCACCGACAGGAAGGTCTTAATGATGATCATGACGACGTTGTACAGGAGGAAACCCGAACACGTTTCCCGACAGTAGCCCAGGGTCACGCTGGCTGCCGGGCTGCCGCACCTGGGGGGCAGGAGAGGTCAGGGGAGGTCGAGGGGTCAACGGAGAGGGAATAGGGTTGAAGAAAAAAGGGGGAGGAAGAGGTGGGAGAGAATGTTGAAGTGGAGATGGAAATGGAGGATGGGAGGAGGGAGAATATGAAGGAGGAAGACGAGGTGCAACAGATGGAGGAGGAGGAAAAGTAAGAGAAGAGTCGGAAGTTGAAGAAGTTTGATAGTGAGAAGAAAGGGAGAAGAAACAGACATCGAAGAAAAGGAGGAAAAACAAGATTAGTGGAAGCGCAAAAAATAATAAATATAAAATAATAATAAACAAATAAACAAACAAAATACTGGTAAATAATGCAAACCACTATCATTACCTACCATGAAAAAATCATTAACCATTAATAACACTACAAAACAATTAAAAACTCGTTAACCGTTAATAACAATAAAAAATGACTTTGACAATAACTTTCGGCCGATTTGTTAAAATTGCGCGAGGCCCAACCCAATGAACATCTATTATACGGACACGCACAGAAATAAATGCATATCTCTCCGTCTAGACATGCATATCAACCAGATACACAGATAGATACATGTATACACCTCAGAGAGACGGGCTGATATGCATGTGCGTATAAGCAAGCCTGTATGAACAGTCTTTGGGCCTCGCGAACGTCAGCAGCTTAATCGTAGCAACATACGTGCAGTTGAAGAAGTCGCTGCCCGGCCCCGTGCCCTCGAGCTCGGGGCAGCCGGCGTGGCACGGAGAGAAGTACGTGAGCCGGATGGGGCCGTCGCGCACGCACACGGGCACGAACTCCTTCTGGCTGCACATGCAACCGCCGCTGCAGCCTCGGTACAGGTCGATGCTCCTGGGGTGGGGAGGGGGAGGTGAAGGGGGGAGACAATGGATTTGGGGAAGGAAGAAGTGGGGAGAAGGGGGAAAGGGGAGACGGGGAAGGGGAAGGGGGAGGAAGATTGGTAGGGGGGGTAGGGGGAGAGTGGGAAGGGGAGATGGTAGATGAGGAAGGGTGGGGAAGAAGGGTAGGGGGAAGGGGGAGATGGGTTGGGGGAAAAGTGGGAAGAGAAAGGGGAAGGGGGAGAAGGAAGATTAGCAAGGGAGAAGGAGGAGTGGGAAGGGGAGATGGGGGAGAGGGGGAAGGGGGAGAGTGGGAAGGTTGGAAGGAGGGGAGGAGAAGGCGGAAGGGAAAGGGAATGAACAGCGCAGTTTAAAGAAGGGAAATGGAAAAGTTGAAAAGAAACGAAATGGGGAAGGAGAGAGAGAAAAAAAATGCTTGGATAAGCGATTATTTTCACCCTCAGAGATAGACAAATAGATTGACAAACAGAAAGATTCACATTCACCACCTGATACATTGAAACATCTCTATATTCCCTTTGATCTTTTTTACCTTTTGCTCTTTCTTATTATTTCTATATTCCTTGTTATCCTTTTTTACCATTAACTTTATCTTATTATTTTTATATTCTCTTTCATGATTGTTACCTTTTACTCTATCTTATTATTTCTATATTCCCTTTTATCTTTTTACCATCTACTCTATCTTATCAATAACACCATCAAGTATGTGGAAAGGTATGAATGAGAACGAATATCTTCACAATACAAGAAATGCATCTGACCGGTTTCGAATGTATCTTCTTCGGAAATACATATATCAGAAACCGGTCAAGTACACCTTTTGTACTGTGAAGATCTTCGTTCTTACTCATACCTTTTCCACATTTGTCCACATGAATCCAGTTCAACCATCAATCATCCCCATTACCCCCCCCCCCTTCCCCCTACATCCCCCCGCAACACGTACCTCCTATCCACGGACAGAATCCCGGGCAAATCGTCGTTGAAATCGCACGAGATGGACATCAGGCCGAACAGCGACAGCATGTACAGCGCCAGGCAGCCCGACACGGTGAGGGCGACGGTGCGGGCGGCCGGCGGAAGCGGCGGATCCACACGCCCCGCCCACGACGCCCAGGATCACGGAGGAGGTGCCGGAGATCCCTGTGCGAGATAGATAGATGGATAGAGAGAGAGGAAGAGATAGAGGGAGGGAGATAGATAGATAGATAGATAGAGAAAGGGAGGGAGGGAGAGAGGGAGAGGGAGAGAGGGAGAGAGGGAGGGAGAGAGAGGGAGAGAGGAGAGGGAGAGGGGAGAGAGGAGAGGAGAGAGAAGAGAGAGAGAGAGAGAGAGAGAGAGAGAGAGAGAGAGAGAGAGAGAGAGAGAGAGAGAGAGAGAGAGAGAGAGGGGAGGGAGGAAGAGAGAAACAGAGAAACAGAGAGAGAGAGAGAGAGAGAGAGAGAGAGAGAGAGAGAGAGAGAGAGAGAGAAGAGAGAGAGAGAGAGAGAGAGAGAGAGAGAGAGAGAGAAGAGAGAAGAGAGAAAGGAGAGAGAGAGAGAGAAGAGAGAGAGAGAGAGGAGAGGAAGAGAGAGAGAGAGAGAGGAGAGAAGAGAGAGAGAGAGAGGAGAGAGAGAGAGAGAGAGAGGAGAGAGAGAGAGAGAGAGAGAGAGAGAGAGAGAGAGAGAGAGAGAGAGAGAGAGAGAGAGAGAGAGAGAGAGAAGAGAGAGAGAGAGAGAGAGAGAGAGAGAGAGAGAGAGAGAGAGAGAGAGAGAGAGAGAGAGAGAGAGAGAGAGAGAGAGAGAGAGAGAGAGAGAAGAAGAAGAAGAAATGGGAGATGTGATAAGATTGGAGTGTATTTTCTACGTTTTTCTTTTTCTTTTTACTTTTTGAATCTGTAGTCTGGGATGAGATCAGTCTTCCTCTACATCCCTGTCTCTCGTCTTTCACTAATTCGTTCATGTTCGTTATTGGTTTTTATTTTTTCATTAACATTTTTCTTCTTCCCTTCCTTTTCCTTACTCTCTCGTTCATTCCCTTTTCTAATTAATCCCCTTCCTCATTTCCCTTCATTCTTCGCTAACAATCCACCCACACTTCCTAATTTCCCTTCAACTCTCATAGCATTTGCTCATTTCCTCATGGACATACAAGGATCAATAGCAATTTGTATTAAATTATCTATCGATTTATTAGTTTGTAGCAGAGGCAAGGGTTATCCTATTATCTATGCTTTTTTACCAATTCAAATTACATTGTTAGACTGAGTAAGTGATTCTACAGTGCTTTCTAGAACATTTCCGTCGCTTACCAAGAAACCCGTTAAAACGAATATTGTTATTTTATCGCCTGATTCTCTTCGATCTTGCATTCGCGTAATCGCTGTCGTCTTAATCCATTCAAGTTTGGCTTTGCATTGCACGAACACTTAGACTTTAGCTTAGGTTAGGTAACTGGCCGTGCACAGTCAAGTTTATGTGCTATATAGGCTAAAACCAAGAATTAACTGAATAGGACTCTACAGGCATAAAAAACAATAAAATAAAAGAAAATGTTCCGTTTCTTTACTAAAGAAATATCGAATTTGCGAGAGACATAATTATAATGTCTACTCGCTAGATCTAACGAATCTTATTCATCGACGACATTCCAAACGCCAAAATAAAAATCTATGAGTGATGACAACACAAATTCCATGAAATAAACCCGATAAACATGTAAAATCAGTTTTTTTTTTTAGTAATACCTATAATTTCTCAGCCTAACATTCCTAGCTGGGCTTTGCTAGAGTGGCCTCATACATAGTGCCGCCTCACCCATTTTGACTCATGTTCCTATAAACTCATCCCAGTCTCTCTTTGCCCTTAACCTTTCCTTATTCCTCCTCATCCCTTCTCATACATCCTCATTCATGCTTCCTTATTGCCACAGCCCCCTATTCCATCTTATTGCTTTTTATCCCTTCTCTTCGTTCCTAATCTTTCATCATCCCTCATCCTATACCTTACTCCTCTTCCTTGTCCCACCTTCCTTACACCCTCTTTCTTCCCCTTTTCCATTACCTCCTCATATCCCAATTAAACTTTTTTCCCCTCCATCCTTCCCCATTGCTCCTAATTTACCTGTGAATAGCGACGCCTTGGCTTTACTGGTCCTAAACTGGTGCTCGAAGTACTTTGGCAGCCAGAAGAACAATCCCGCCGCTCCCATAATGGCGAAGAAGTCGGCCAAAGCAAGGAATACGACGACCTTATTGCTCAGGATCCTCCCCATGGCCACGCGGAGCTCTGTGATTGGAGCATGTGGAATACGATGATGAGAATGGTCATGATGGTAGTTATGGTTATTGATAGTGATTTATGGTAATAATAATAAAAAATAAATAAAGCTAGTGTACGTCACCTTGAACAGGACTTGTTTTCGTTTCCAAATTTGCTTTTGTATTCCCTTCTAAAGTCTCATCGCCTGTTTTCTGTTTCTCGTCCATTTTCTTTTTTAAACTCGAATCGCGGCCTCCTCCTCCTTCCTTTCCTCTTCCTCTATCCCCTCTTTCTCCCGTCCCCCCATTTCGTTCCTTCATGCCTCCGTTTCGTTCCTTGGTTCTCGGCTGTTCCAAATTATCGCAAGGGACGACAGAAGTGTGGATTATTCCCGAATCCGAAAGCGGCTCCGACAAATGACGTTGCTGTGGGTCGCCATTTTGTTGTTCGGCATCGCAGTCGATTGATGAATTCTTCTTCATTTTTCTGAAAGACGAAGGCTTTAGGTTTCGAGTTCTTGGTTCTAATTGATTGCGAATTATCGTATTTATTTTAGTTTTTTTTTAAATATGACTATGAAAAAGTTGTTTGTAGCCATGGACATCCGGTTGTTGTCTTCATTATCGTCAAAAGATGAAGGCAATAATAAAAGTAAAACTTATAAATGCTAATATTGATACTATTAATGTAATATTAATTTTGATAACGATTATGATGATGATTTTATCAAATAAAGATAGTTATAAGGCTAAATATAATAATAACATGATCATTATAAGTGTTATCATCATAATTATCAACACAATTTTTACCGTGGAAGTTAGTGTAGTTTATAAGCATAGTGCCCAAGCAATATTATACAGAACTAACAACAAAATGAAAAAGAAAATGTAGTTTGCCCAAGAGAAAGGAATATGAAATTAATGATAATAACAATAATGATGAAACTAATAACATCAACAATACTAAGACTTACAAAAAAAAAAAAACAGCAGTAATACAAATAGTAACACTAATAATGATAATGATAACGAAAATGATAAAATGATGATGATGTTAAAATAAATAATAATGATAGCAATAATAATATTATTCTTAATAATAGCAATACCAACAATACCAACATTAATAATAATAATAATAATAATAATAATAATAATAATAATAATAATAATAATAATAATAATAACAATAATAATAATAATAATAATAATAATAATAATAATAATAATAATAATAACAATAACAATAATAATAATAACATTAATAATAATAATAATAATATCCATGATAAAACACGTAGATAACCAACTGCCCCCTCACCTGGGGAAGAGCGCGACCACGCAGGCGAAGACGAACATGAGGCTGGAGAACACGAGCGGCCCCATCCACCACGCGCCAACCCACCGCGGGTCGCTCGGCAGAATGCCTGGGGAGGGAGCATCCGGATAAAGAGTTTTGAAAGAGAAGCGTGGTGAAGAGGATTTATTTTGTTCTAAGCTAAACGTTTTAGAGGAGAGGGAATGACGAGTGGCGTTGAGGGTTTTAATGGTTGGATTTTTAGATGGGTTATGGCCATGATCTCCGCGTCAAACGGAAATCTGTAATATTCCCATAGCACTCGTACAAAGTCAGTTGCCGCGCCTCTCCTTCGTAGCTGAGGTGATTGGTTCATATAAGTTGCTCTTATTGCTGTTGTTCTTATAGTTAGTAATGAAGTGTTCTGAACGAAAATGTATGAAAAAAGGGAGATTACTATTTAAATGACTGGATGTGACTATAGGAATGGTTAATGTGTACTACATTCTAGACACCATCTTCTAATGAAGCCTACTCATCATTGCATTGTTTTCTGGCAATTATAGATTAAGGAGAAACACATGAGAACACACATAAAGAACAACAAGCAGTGAACTTTGGCTTGCACAATCTGAATACATTTCATTATCATCACCCGTTAATGCCTTTGATGCCGATAAGAAAATTACATAGGTTTAACATTTCTAACATCTTTCCCAAACGCCGGTGATTTAAAATCAGTCAATATGTTGTTCACAATTCTTTAATTAACACTATCATGCAGAAAATTAAGTGCGAATTGATGGTAAACAACATAAACATCTCCATCTTAACTTACTAACTCACAATCTGAACAGAAATACCACATTAACTCACCCAAAACAACAATTCATTCCCAGATGATCCCCATCTTACCTTTCATCTTTCAACGCATTTCCTGCTCAATTACTAACCGTGATTCTGCCCCGGAAGAACGTAGATGTTGAGGGCGAAGGCCGAGAGAGAGAAGCCTATGAAGGGCCCGACGATCCCGAGGGTTGTCGACAGGGCTGTGGAGGGGGAGGGGGAGGGGCGCCGTGAGTGG